ACAAACCTGGCTGTGCCTCGTCACAGTCCCAGTGGCTTCAGTTGGCTCCCTTTGCTTTGCTTTTAATTTTGCTTTTAATTTTTTAATTAAAAGCTGTTGTGAGCCTGGTTTGGAGCTCAGCCCCACCCCAAGCCTGCGTGCTTTTGGCTCTGGCTTAATTAAACCCCGTTTAAAATCCGGCTGTAATTAAATTGAAGTTGTCCACGCCTCCAGCTCTTCCCAGGCCTGCCCAGCACGGGCTCCTTGGGATTCTTTTGCTCCCGAAGGTGATTAACACCTTGCTAATGACCTCTGACCTTCCCTCAGGAGCCTGGAGCCTGCCAGGGGGCGTTTCCTGGGATCAGCTGGACCCTCATGGCCCAGATCCTGGATCCACAACACTCCTGAGCTGCTGTGCCCCGGGAGGGAATTAATATGCCATAATATGCCATTAATATGCCATTAATATGCCATTAATATGCCATTGATATCCCATTAATATCCCATTCATATCCCATTGGTATCTGTTTGATATCCCATTAATATCCCATTGATATCCCATTGATATCTGCTTGATATCCCATCGATATCCCATCGATATCCCATCAATATCCCATTGATATGATCGATATCCCATTGATATCCCATTGATATATCCCATGAATATCCCATGAATATCCCATTGATATCCCATGAATATCCCATTGATATCCCACTGATATCTGTTTGATATCCCATTGATATCCCATTAATATCCCATTGATATCCCATTGATATCTGTTTGATATCCCATCGATATCCCATCGATATGTTTGATATCCCATTGATATCCCATTGATATCCCATTGATATCCCATTGATATCCCATTGATATCCCATTGATATCCCATTGATATCCCATGAATATCCCATGAATATCCCATTGATATCCCATGAATATCCCATTGATATCCCACTGATATCTGTTTGATATCCCATTGATATCCCATTAATATCCCATTGATATCCCATCGATATGTTTGATATCCCATTGATATCCCATTGATATCCCATTGATATCCCATTAATATCCCATTGATATCCCATTAATATCCCATTGATATCCCATTGATATCCCATTAATATCCCATTGATATCTGTTTGATATCCCATTAATATCCCATTAAGATCCCATTAAGATCTCATTAATATGCCATTAATATCCCATTGCTATCCCATTGCTGTCCCATTGATATCCCATCGATATCCCATCAATATCCCATTGGTATCCCATTAATATCCCATTGGTATCCCATTGATATCCCATTGATATCCCATTGATATCCCATTGATATCCCATTAATATCCCATTGGTATCCCATTGATATCCCATTGATATCCCATTAATATCCCATTGATATCCCATTGATATCCCATAGATATCCCATTGATATCCCTTTAATATCCCATTAATATCCCTTTAATATCCCATTAATATCCCATTAATATTCCCAACCACTTCGTCACGCTCGCAGGCTGCTGAGAGCGCTCCCAAAATATCCCCGATTAATCACAGGAAATTTGTGATCTTTAGTTTGCTCCCAGTTTACTCCAGCAGCTGCTCCAGGAATTCAAGGGGGAAGGAGGCCAGGGCTGGATTTTTGGGAGAGGAAGGTCAGACTGTGGGAATCTGAGGAGCTCCGAGCCTGGCAGGGGATGGAGTAGGGCTGGGAACCATCTCCAGCCTCAGGGGAATTCGGGTTGGGCTGGCAGGGAGGGCACTGGGCTGTTCCTGTGCCCAGGGGCTGCCTCCTCTCATCCCATTCCCATCTCCTGGCAGCTTTGGCTGGGCTGGCTCATGGAATCCCAGCTGGGATTGGGATTCCTGAATCCCAGCTGGGATTGGGATTCCTGAATCCCAGTTTGGATTGGGATTCCTGAATCCCAGATGGGATTGGGATTCCTGAATCCCAGTTTGGATTGGGATTCCTGAATCCCAGTTTGGATTGGGATTCCTAAATCCCAGCTGGGATTGGGATTCCTGAATCCCAGCTGGGATTGGGATTCCTAAATCTCAGCTGGGATTGGGATTCCTGAATCCCAGTTTGGATTTGGATTCCTGAATCCCAGCTGGGATTGGGATTCCTGAATCCCAGCTGGGATTGGGATTCCTGAATCCCAGCTGGGATTGGGATTCCTGAATCCCAGTTGGGATTGGGATTCCTGAATCCCAGCTTGGATTGGGATTCCTGAATCCCAGTTTGGATTGGGATTCCTGAATCCCAGCTGGGATTGGGATTCCTGAATCTCACCCCATCCATGGGCAGGGACACCTCCCTCTATCCCACACCCAGTGTCCATCCTGGCCTTGGGCACTGCCAGGGATCCAGGGACAGCCCCAGCAAATCTGGGAATTCCAACCCTTCCCAATTTCCCCCAAATTTCTGAATTATTTGGAATTCCTGGGGGCTTTTATTTGGGGTGTTTTTTTTCCCCTGTGTCTTGTATGCAGAAAAGGTCGGTGAAAACCGACCTTGAACTGAAAAAATTCATTCAGCTTCCAGTCAGGAGAATAAACTGGGAACAGGAATGGCCTGGATGATGGGAGGCCAAGCAGGGAGGAAGCTTTCCACAAGATCTGGAAGGGAAAAACAGCGAGTCCCGTGGCTGGAGGGCACAAAACAAAGGATGTTTGTTCAGGAGCTGGGCAGCGCTGCAGGAGGAGGAGCAGGGACGGACGGCCAGGGAGCCCTCGTGGCTCTGGGTTGAGCCTGGCTCTGCTGGGCTGAGCCTGGCTCTGTTGAGCTGAGCTCTCGTGGCTCTGGGTTGAGCCTGGCTCTGTTGAGCTGAGCTCTCGTGGCTCTGGGTTGAGCCTGGCTCTGTTGAGCTGAGCTCTCGTGGCTCTGGGTTGAGCCTGGCTCTGTTGAACTGGGCCTGGCTCTATTGAGCTGAGCTCTTGTGGCTCTGGGTTAGGCCTGGCTCTGTTGGGCTGAGCCCTCGTGGCTCTGGGTTGAGCCTGGCTCTGTTGAGCTGAGCTCTCGTGGCTCTGGGTTGAGCCTGGCTCTGTTGAGCTGAGCTCTCGTGGCTCTGGGTTGAGCCTGGCTCTGTTGAGCTGAGCTCTCATGGCTCTGGGTTAGGCCTGGCTCTGTTGGGCCGGGTGTCAGAGGGCTCCAGGTGTGGGAAATGAGGCTCTGACTCACCAGAGCTCACCCAAAGCAGGTAAAGCCTGTCCAGACTCAGGTCCTGCTGCCTTTGGTGTTCTCTGACCACAGAAAGGACGAGTTCAGGCAGCAGCACCTGGAAACAAATCCCTCATATCCCTTCCTGCAATTCCCAGATCCCCTGGATCCCTGGATCCCTGCAGTGCCCCAGGCCAGGCTGGACCCTGGGGCTGGAGCTCCAGGACAGGGGATGTGTCCCTGCCATGGCTGGGGTGACACTGGATCATCTTTAGGGTCCCTTCCATCCCAGCCATTCCCCGATTTCGGGATCTGGGCACTCTCAGCTGCCCAGCTGAGCCCCAGCTGTGTGGGAATGGGAGACTGGGATAACATCAGGGTGGGGCTGAGCTGCCCAAACCTGGCCTTAAGCTGGGCCTGGCTGAGCTTGGCTGGGCAGGAGCTCAGTGCCAGCCAAAGCCTCACCCTGGGAATGGAACTGCTGGTTCCAGGTGCCGTTTCTGTCCTGCCCTCGGGACTTGGGGTCTCCTTCGCCCTCCCTCGCCATTCACTCCTTGCTCAGGCGGGTGTGAAACGCTGATGTTCCATTGGATTCCCATTCATTAATTAAATTTAATTTAATTTATGTGGCTTTTCTCAGCGTGTCACGGCCACAAGGGCAGCGGTGAAGTCAGATTTTAAATCCCCTCGTCCTGCTGATGTTGGAGGCAGCAGTTCCAGCTGTGCAGCAGTTCCAGCTGTGCCATTAATATGCCATTGATATCCCATTGATATCCCATTGACATCCCATTGATATCTGTTTGATATCCCATTAATATCCCATTGATATCCCATTGATATCCCATCGATATCCCATTGACATCCCATTGATATCCCATTGATATCCCATTGATATCCCATCGACATCCCATCGACATCCCATCGACATCCCATCGATATCCCATCGATATCCCATCGATATCCCATTGATATCCCATTGATATCCCATCGATATCCCATCGATATCCCATTGATATCCCTTTAATATCCCATTGATATCCCATCGATATCCCACTGATATCCCATTGATATCCCATTGATATCCCATTGATATCCCTTTAATATCCCATTGATATCCCTTTAATATCCCATTGATATCCCATTGATATCCCATTAATATTCCCAACCACTTCATCACGCTCGCAGGCTGCTAGTTCTGGCTGTGTCTCAGCAGTTTCAGCTGTGCAGCAATAACTCCAGCTGTGTCTCAGCAGTTCCAGCTGTGTCTGCAGCAGCAGTAACTCCAGCTGTGCATCAGCAGTAACTCCAGCTGTGCAGCAACAGTAACTCCAGCTGTGCAGCAACAGTTCCGGCTGTGTCTCAGCAGTTCCAGCTGTGTCTCAGCAGCTCCAGCTGTGCAGCAATAACTCCAGCTGTGCAGCAACAGTTCTGGCTGTGTCTCAGCAGTTCCAGCTGTGCAGCAGCAGCTCCAGCTGTGCAGCAATAACTCCAGCTGTGCAGCAGCAGTTCCAGCTGTGCTGCAGCAGCTCCAGCTGTTCCATGGGATGGGCTGAGGCAGGAACAGCTGGCGTTCCCTGCACCCCTCTGGCCTCTGCAGGGATCCTCACACCCAAAATAAAAGGGAGGCAGCAAAACGTCCGGCTCCAAACGGCTCCGAAGAGCACCAGGATTGGCGTTAATTAGATCCACGCCAATTAAAAGCTGCTGTGGGGCTGTTTGGGGCCGCTGGGGGTTCTGGTTTTCAGCAGGAACGCGGCAGGATAACGGGGTTTGGTGAGGGTGGGTGGCACGGGGGGCTCAGCATGTCCTGCACAGGGCCCTGGAACAGGGATTTCTGCAGGAATCATCCCTGGATGAGCGGGAATGTTCTGGGGAGCGCTGCCAGCAGCCCCTAAATCCCCACTCCAGGCCTTTGTTTACAGCCCCTTCCTGCAGATGGGCCACGTGAGGATGGAGAATTCCCAGATCCCAGAGCTCCGTGGTGTCCCTGGCTGTGATCCTCATCCCCGAGGGGCTCTGGAAGGGGCTGCCCTGAGCCCACTTTTCCTGAGGCTCTGGAATCCTGGATCAGGGAATCCAGCTGATGTTGGAGTGATGATGTTCATGTATCCCAAGGGCTCCCAGTCCCGCAGTGTTTCACGGTCTGGTGCTTGGAGTTGGGATAAATTCCACTGATATTTTTATTTTCACTGTCTGAACACTGAGTCTCCTTTCCTCCTTTCCTCTGGAGCTGCCCATCACCTTCCCCTCCTGTTCCACAGATCCCTTCTTCCAGACTTTTCCTGGTTCTGGAAGCGCTCAGGGCCAGCCTGGGCTCGTTCCTGGTGGCACTTTGGGAAAAGTCCAGCCTGGGGGTGTTTGTGTGGGGATAACTTGATGGAAAAGCCGCTGGAGAGGCTTTTCCTGGGAGCAAAAGGAGGGATCCAGGCAATCCTGGAGTGGTTTGGCTTTCCAAGCCCAAATTACCAGTCAAGACCTCCTCTATGATTCATTTCCAGTTGTTGCTTCATTCTGTAAAGGAAATAAACCCCAAAAGGCAATTCCTCACTGAACTTGGGTTTGCTTTTTTTTGTCTCCTGTTTTCCAGACTTCATTTTATGGCAGATTCAGGCACTTCCTGGACATCATCGACCCCCGCACTCTCTTTGTGACCGAGGTAATGCTCAGCTCTGTTTTGGGAGGCTCTGACAGCTGGAGATGAGCAGCAGAAGTGTTTCCACAGGGTTTGTGGTTCACAGGTGTGAAAAACCAAGTTCACTCTCCTGTAAAATTTTAAAAAGGTTTAATAAGGGCAATAAGAGACATAAAATAAAGCAAAGAGTTACGGCCGGGTGCCCCTGGAGCGTTGCCAGAACACAGCTGATACCTTTGGAACATTGGTTCCCTGGTGGTGGGGAGCCCTTGGGAAGGAAAAGTTCTGCTCTGCTCTGGAATTCTGTGGATTTTCAGTGAAGGACAGCTGCTTTTTCCTTTTTATTTTAATTTTTTTCCAATTAAAAAAATAATAATTTTTATTATTAGGGAATAAAAAGAACAAATTCTGATGTTTTACCCAGTTTTATGCCGGGTCAGAGTTGAGCAGTTTTGGGTTCTGGAGGGAACCTCAACAAGTCAGGGAGGTTTGGTGTCCATCTCTGGGGCTGGGAAAGGACAGGGCTGAACTTTGGGGTGTTCAGGAATGACTTGGGGGCTTTCCAGGGAGGAACTGGAAAACTCTGAATGATGAACTCTGTCATCTCCTCTGGGAGGTGAATTCCGTGGCAGGAATGCTCAGGACACCTGCAGCATCTCTGCTGGTGTCCCCTTCCCTGGAGGATAAAATAACCTCCTGGGCCACTTCTTGGGGCACAAAATCTGCTTTTTGCTCTCTTTGCTCCGTGTTTTTACATTGGCTGGGCCGTGCAGACGGAGAACTTGGGGTTTTTTTGCTTTCCCTCGATGGCTGAGGGGGCAAATGGGAGCTGAGGAAGGGTTTGCTGAGCCCCAGGGGTGAGCAGGGAGCTGACAGATGGCTGCATCTCCCAGCCCCAGGGCTCCCAGCAACAAACAAATCCCTGCTTGGCTTGGAGGAGCTCGTTGGCAAACGGGAAAAAAGAGGAGATGAATGAGTGTCTAATGGGAATGGAGGTTAATCCCCTGGAAAATGCAGGGAAATGTGGTGATATTTCATTTTTCTCCATCGTGTTTTGGATGGCTGTGTGCTCCATCACCGCAGCCTGCTGGTGTTGTGAGGAGGGATGAGGGATCTCTCCCAGTGGGGAGCTGAGAGGATGATCAGTCACAGTGACACTCATCCTTTAGGTGTTTCTTTTCCAATGAAACAGATTCCTGACACCATCAGGAACTTCCTGATGTTTTTCAGAGGTTCTGGAGGAGGGAACCCTCGTGGGGTGGCCCTGGGTTCTGCCCTGATGTGCTCTGATGTCCTGCCATCTCCTGGGGCTGGAGCCCAGCCCTGGCCTCAGGAACCTCGGGGTGCTCATTCACCTCATCCCTGGCAATGAAATCCTCTCTTGGCAGCTGCAAATCCTCCAGCAAGTGGGAAATCGGCATTGCAGGGTCACCAGTCCCAGCCCCGGGATGTCCCCGGGGTCAGGGCCCGGCGTGGGGACGTGTCAGGCTGAAACAATTGCAATCACAGTTTTAATTACTCTGTAATTAAGGCCCGTGTGGGCCAGCAGGTGCTCTGAGAACCCATCCCCCTGGGCTGGCTGTTGTCACCCAGCTGTTCTGGAGGAAGGGCTGGCAGTGGCTGCAGGTGGAAGCAGGAGTGGGGCGAGCTCCGAGGGGCTGCCTGCTCTCTGTGCCTCGTCTCATTGTTCAGAGCCTGGCTCTGCAGAGCATCTTGCATTCCCATATTTGGCTTTAAAATGGAAGCAGGATTAGATGTATGTTATTTATACGAACGATACCTTCTTACTCAGCAGATTGACTGTCTGTGTTTATTCAGTGTCACATCTGCTGGCTCCACTCGAACAAAAAGTTTCTGGCTCCTGTTGTCTGTCACTGTGGATCCAATACAATGGGGCCAGCTGGAGTCAAGTCTGCCGTGTGTGTCATCCCTGGGAGCAGGGACACGGGGAGCAGGCTGGGCTGTGCCTGCAGCCAGGGCACAGCTGGATCTCCTCGGCCACGGGGAGCTGGAGCTGCTGCTGCTGGCCACGGGAGCCTGGGCTGGGACACGTCCTGCGGGTCCTGGCTGGGACACGTTCCCAGGTCCTGGTTGGGCAGGGACACGTTCCCAGGTCCTGGCTGGGAGCCTTGGACACGTCCTGCAGGTCCTGGCTGGGACACGTCCTCCAGGTCCTGGTTGGGCTGGGACACATCCCCAGGTCCTGGCTGGGACATGTCCCCAGGTCCTGGTTGGGCTGGGACACATCCCCAGGTCCTGGCTGGGCTGGGACACATCCTGCAGGTCCTGGCTGGGAGACGTCCCCAGGTCCTGGCTGGGCTGGGCCACGTCCCTCAGGTCCTGGCTGGGACACGTCCTGCAGGTCCTGGTTGGGCTGGGACACATCCCCAGGTCCTGGCTGGGCTGGGACACCTCCCTTCAGGTCCTGGCTGGTCTGGGACACATCCCCCAGGTCCTGGCTGGGCTGGGACATCTCCCCCAGGTCCTGGCTGGGCTGGAAGAAGTCCCTCAGGTCCTGGCTGGGCCAGAGGTGGAACCCGTGGAGCTCGGGGCACTGAGATCACCCCCAGGATGCCAGGCTGAGCCTGGAGGCTCAGCAGGACGTGGATCCCCTCCGGGGCCCCCGTGGGGACTCTGTGGCAGGAATGTGCCGTGCTCCCGGCACAGGGACCCCCTCACCCCCAGTGTCACACACGGGGCTCTGCTGGCTGCTCCCAGCCATGAGCAGCCACCGTGGATCCAAGAGGAGACAAGGCACGGATCTGCCAGGAGGAGCAGCCCTGGAGCCAGGGGGGACGAGGTGGGAGCCCGGGGGAGAGCTCAGGTGGCCCTGGGCTTGGAGCGGTGGCCATGAGCCATCAGTGATCTCTGCTGGGGCTCTTCCTTCTGCTCCTCAGCTCCAGCCTGGAGCAAAGGAGGCTCAGGGGGAATTTCTGGCTCTGCACAAGTCCCTGGCAGGAGGGGACAGCCGGGGGGGATTTGGGATCTGCTCCAGGGAACAGGGACAGGAGGAGAGGGAACGGCCTCAGGGCAGCTCAGGGTGAATATTTGGAATATTCCTACATGGAAAGGAATCTGGAAGTGCCCAGGGAGGTTGGGAATGCCCATCCCTGGGGATTCCAGAGCCCCTGGATGTGGCACTCGGGGCTGGGGCAGCGCTGGCCCTGGCAGGGCTGGGCATGGCTGGGCTGGAAGAGCTCGGAGTTTTTCCCAATCCCAGTTCAGCGAGTGCACGGCTGTGTTTCCTTGTGGAATTGCAGATTCCGGCTGCGGTGGGAGCCCCACGGTCCCCAGTGACCTTTGGATGACAAATCCGGGAGGCGGTGAGGATTTGTGGAGATAAAGCCAAGGTCGTGCGGGGCTGGGGCTCCGCGGGCACACCGAGCCATCCTCGGAATCCTCTCCCCCAGATTAGTGGGATAAGAGAGTCTGGACCTTCAAATGCCGGCGAAATTGTTTGGAGGATTAGGATCAATTCTCCGGGGAAGAGCAGAGGGACAGCAAACAGAGGGAGAGGAGCAGGGAGGAGAAGCAAAGGCAGCGGGGACAGCAGCTCAGGAGCAGGATTTCCATCTAAAGGAATTAAAAATACACCTTGAAAACCCCAATGCAGCTCAGGAGCAGGATTCCCATCTAAAGGAATTAAAAATACACCTGAAAAACCCCAATGCAGCTCAGGAGCAGGATTCCCATCTAAAGGAATTAAAAATACACCTGAAAAACCCCAATGCAGCTCAGGAGCAGGATTTCCATCTAAAGGAATTTAAAATACACCTGAAAACCCCAATCCCCAATTGTTTCTCCCCGGGGGAAGGGGTGAATGTCCCATTTTGCTGTGGCAATGTTGCTGCTCTGCCCCGTGGCCCCAGAGCCCATCGTGTCCCCTTCTCCTCCCACCACTGAAGCAGTTTCTGGTTTTGGGCTCATCCCAGTGAATCCCAGCTCTGCTGCAGCTCCTGCTGGGATGGAAAAGGAGCTCTGGCCGTGCCTGAAGGGTGAAAAGTGGAATAGGAAAGAGCAGGGAGATGGAATTTTATCATTTCTGTTTGCTTTTCCTCGGAGATGTAGCTAAAAGCCAGCAGCAGCTCCCCTGCCCTGCTGGAATTGCCAGTGGATGTGGAGCTCATCCTGCTCCTGCCATCCCCGGGGGGCTGAGCTGCCCCCAGCCCCAGGGACAGCCCTGCAGCAAAATCCCCACCCCACAGCCAGAGCCAGGAAGGGAAAACAGAAAACCCTAAATCCAAAACTCAATCCCCATCCCATACCCAGGAAGGGAAAACAGAAAACCCTAAATCCAAAACTCAATCCCCATCCCATCCCCAGGAAGGGAAAACAGAAAACCCTAAATCCAAAACTCAATCCCCATCCCCAGAGCTGTTCTCTCCTCCCCATAGAGGGGAAACAAAACCCTAAACCCAAAGCTCAATCCCCACCCCACAACCAGAGCCGTTCTCTCCTCCCCACAGAAGGGAAACAAAAACAAAACCCTAAACCCAAAGCTCAACCCTCACCCCATAACCAGAGCCACTCTCCCCACAGAAGGGAAAGAAAACCCTAAATCCAAAACTCAGTCTCCACCCCACAGCCAGAGCCCTTCTCTCCTCCTCACAGAAGGGAAGCAAAACCCTAAATCCAAAACTCAGTCTCCACCCCATACCCAGAGCTGGGAAGGGAAAACAAAAAGAAAACCCTAAACCCAAAGCTCAATCCCCATCCCATCCCCAGAGCCGTTCTCCCCACAGAAGGGAAACAAAACCAAAACCCTAAACCCAAAGGCAGCGCTGCCAGGAGCTCTGGGAGGCCTCTCCCCCTCCCCAAAGGTTCCAGGATCTGCCCTGGGGGAGGATGAGGATGAGGATCCTGCCCTGGGGGATGAGGGGGATGAAGATTCTGCCCCAAATCCCCGTCCCAGGGACCCCCCTGCTGCAGCCCGAGCCAGGA